GGGGGGGGGGGGGGCCTCCCTGCCATTGGCATTGCTGCAGCAGCTCCCATAGGTAGCGGTCCACGTAAACCTAGTCCAAAGTCTTGTCAAGACATCATGAAGCCCCAATGTGAACATTCATCTCATCACTGATTTCTTATAGTTTTCATATTTCTCTGGTGGAATACGGCTCTTTCCTCAGGGAATGTTTATTACTGGAACAATATAACCTGCCAGATTGTTGCTTTGTACAAATTGGTATGGTTCTCTGGGAAACCTACTCCTATGGCCTCTTCAAATACAGTCTACAAATAAAAGCACATGCAGCTCTCTGGAAGATGATTATTGAACTGGTGAAGGAGTCTGAAGAGTAATTTTAATATACCAATTATTGCTTTTATAATGAACTGATGGTCATGTCCTTCATTTGCAGTGAGAAGCAAATGAGATGGAAGGATATTAACTTCAGAAAGAGCATTTCAGGCATGACTTTTTGCTTGTTTTAACATTATATGAAATATGAAAACACACAATAGATAATAAGATACAGTCAAGTATGTGTTATGGAGAATCAAGAAAGAAAAGAGAATCAACTTCGGTTTGGCCGGAAAAGATTTTACCAAGGTGGAATTTGAGATGATCTCTGAGAGTAAGCCAAGAGTGGGGAGGGCATTCCAGAGACAGAGTCATGCAAATATGTTCACAGAGGTGGGAAGGGACGCGTCAAAGGGGTTATTGAAAAACATATCCCTTAAGAGTAGAATGTCTATCTTTGGGTGTGTTTAACACAGTCACATAAACAATAGGTGTAAATATGTTATAAAATACTGTGAAAGTTAGGACAAATACATTAGATCTGTTAAGGCAGGAGTCAGCTTGGAAAAGTTACACTCGAGATGAGACGATACATAATCTTTGGATATCTTTAGTATTACATGTACACACACACACACACACACACACACACACACACCCCTATGCTTTCATTGCTAGAGACATGCACACTTACAAGAGAGAGAGAAAGAGGAGCTGGATCCCTTAACTACTAGATGATAGGGTCAGTTCATATCTTCATTTATTTTATCATTATTTAAAAAGAATTACTTATTTATATAATTCCATTTGTTATCACCATTATTATTTTAATTTGACCAGAGAGAGAAAGAGAAAGTGAGAAAGCAAGCTGCCAGGTCCGGGACTCAAACCATGGGTCAGTCATGTGAGAATTTAGCACCTTTAACCAGCAGGCCACCTACTGGCCCATTTATATTTATTTTTATTAAAATATTATATTTTATGTATCTCTTGAGCTCTGAAGTATAATATAAATATGTAATTATAAATATATGATACACAAGGGGACTTCTAAAAAGTGTGGAAAAATAGATTTAAAGGATGAATTTATTTCAGTGCAAAAATAGTTTGCAATCCATACACAATGTTTTTATAATACATACTTTCAGTGAGTTTTTTGAAGACCCCTTGTATATGAATCCAGTTAAATATTCTATTTTAAAACCTAAACTACAATGATTGCTTGAATTCTAGAAATAGTGACAATATCTAAGAAATAAGTGACACAGAAAAGCATGTTTAAGAGTGATGAACTTTTAACTGAGCAAGTTAGGTTAGAATGGAGAAGGACTGGAGGCGAGGAAGGTAAATTAGGATGGTTTTTGCAGTGTGAAAATAATGAGGGACAAAACTAAGTGATGTCATTGAAAATGAGGAGGGAAGAACAGATAGGTAATAAAGACCAAAGGGAAAATTTGTCCAGAATGTTATAAAATATTTGGAATAAGACTGTCATGGTGGTACCCTGAGTTTTCAGGTCTCTAGATCATTCCATTGACATGTTTCTGTTTGCTTGTTTTAGAAGTGAAAAGGAAACATACTGTCGGTATTGAGGGCTATGCAAATCCATTAATAGTGCTTTTCAAATTTATTTTTTTAAACAAAAACATGGCGTGATGCAGAATCATAATTAGATTGTTTCCATCTTATGCTCATAACACCTCAGTGAGTGTCGTGCTTTCATTTTTGACTTTAGATATGAAGAAATTGAGCTTCCAAAAGTTGAACTCAATCTGTGAATTTTTGAAAGTCATAATATTCTGGTTCACTCTTGTTTTCAGCTAGAACTTTATCCCTCATCTTCCCAGGGAACTAATCTACTGCATCAAAATACTTGTTTATTCTTAAAAAACCGACAAACAAACAAAACCAGAAACCACTTTATACTTCTAGCCTTGTTATTTATTAGAAAGTAAGAGTAGTCGAGATTCGAACATGCAGAGAGGATTTCTTTAGATCTAGTAGCAGCAGAAAAGAATACTCAGAGAATCTTTTCAATGTTTCCCAATTTCTAGGTATACTTGAGGCACACAAAGTGACTAATAGTATATCAATTATCCTATTTTGTTCAATATATCAAAAAACACTTTGATTTCTTTTTAAAAATGAGACAGGGAAAATTACTATCCTCATAATTGTTTCCCCATTTCTCAGTCTCCTTTGCAATAAGGGCAGGGATATGGGCCAAAGCAGTTACTGCTCCTTCTGCTCCTGGCCCTGGATGTCACAAGCAAATCTGTTTCTTTTCCTCCATGGTGGTGACTCTGAAAGGCACATTGCACATGGCAGAGTCCCCAGATAAAAGTAGACTGATTATCCCTGACTCATGGTTCAGCAAGGGGCTGGAGAGCTGCTGACTCATCAGTAGGTTTTGTGTGATTGACAAAAACAAACATGATATGATTGGCTACTGAGATGCTCGTTACTGCAGCGCATTATCCTGACCAATTCAGGCTCCCACTCCACAGTGGATAAGGAGGATCTGAAGTAGCAAGACTATTGAAAGTCAGAACAAAAGGTAGTTCATTTCTACGTCAGGGAGAGAGAATATAATCACAGTTAAAAGTCTTATGGGGGGGAGGATATTATTTGAATGCAGTTTCCAAGAAGTCGCCTCCAAATCATACGATCAAATACTTAGAAAATAGCTTTTGATACCAACCTAACCTACTAAGGCATCAGTTTTCTTCTGTTATTCTAGCACAGCGATAAATGACACCCTTACCTCCTACACGCAGAGGCATCATTTGAAATCGTTCAGGTGGTGGCTCACATAAACGTGGCTTGTGGACTTTCGCGTTTGTGAAAATCTTTAATCCTACAGACTGGAAACACATAGTAATTGTTAGAGCATAGTGGCAATCCAGTCTCCAGCCTAATGATTGCATGTGTAGTGACATATTACTCACAAGGTCGCCATGGAAAACTCGACACAATCAGGATAGCTATTTTCTAAATATAAAAACATAACATTGGGGGCAGCAGGTGGCATAGTGGTTACATTGCTGGACTCTTGCATAGCCAACTGCAGTTTGAGTCCTGGACCCGGAGTCTTGGAAACCACACTTCGCAAGGGTGTGTGTACATGCCCAAAATCCCAAGAGGAGAATAGAAGAGAAGGGAGTGTGGTGTGGACACACACACCTCCTCCCCCCAGGGAATGATTTCTCACTTTCCCTCTCACTGTCTCTGTCTCTCTCTACAGCAAGTATACGTGCTCTAATGCAAAAACCTGTAAAACAAACAAACAGAAAGTGAAGGCCATCCAGCGAGTGAATGACCCACTTTTTCTGACTCCTATTTCTAAATATTATTTGGTATAGTCTGATGTATCTTTAATTATTTCTTTTACACATATGAAACTGATTTTTTTTTTTTGAGAGGTTTATGCTACAGGGTGCGTGCGCTCACTGGAAAGACAGAGACAGAGAGACAGAAAGTGAGAAATCACCCCCCTAGCAGGGATGGCCATGCTGCAGTCCCTTCTCCTCCATTCTCCTCTTGGGATCTTGGGCACGCACGCACACATGCCCGGCGTGACTTTAAGCCACCGGGTCTGGGACTCGAACTGCGGTTGACTACATGGACGTTCGGCGATGTAGCCATTATTCTAACTGCTGGCCCTGAAACTGAATATTTTAAACTTAGATGTATTACTCCTTTCCTTTCCCCCACAGAAACAAATATCCATATCTGTACACCCCAATATATCTCTTTATGGCTTTATTGTAGAGGGTAAAATTTTGTTTGTTTCTCATCATTTGTAATGTAAGGTTGCATATTGGAGGTTTTTCTTCACACTCTAAGTACACAGCTTGGTTTATGTCCTACCAGAAGATATGTCTGTCCCCAGAAGACATGTCTATCTCCAGATGTCTATGCTCAACTCACCCCTTTTATGATCTGTCCTTTCCTCTTTTCTCTCTCAGTTTCTTTCAACTCTCTCTAGAGTCTGTAAGCAACACTCACGTGCAACTTGATTCCTGAGGACCACCTGTTCCTGGTGTCCTCCTTCAGTCTAAGTCAGATAAAAAGGATTTGCTGCCTTCTTTCTTTTTTTAAAAAAAGAATTATTAATTTAATTTAATTAATTATTATTAATATTAAATTTGACAAGAGAGAGCAAGAGAGAGGGAATGTGAGAAAGCAAGCCACCAAGTCTGGGACTCAAATTGTGGTTCACCATGTTGAGAGTCCAGCACCTCAACCACCACACTACCTGCCAGCCCCCTTGTCTTATTTCAAAATACATGAGAAACCATGGGACTCTGGGGCAAATAGAGGTGAGTGTGATATAGACTAGGAAGAAAGAAAGCAGAAAGACCTGCTTAAAGATGAAATGGCAAGCTGAGAAACTCAGAGACTATTCCTCCCACCCCCACCACTTGGTTTCTGATACTGGAGGCTCCAGAGAAAGAGAATGAAATTGCTCTCAGTTACGGCCCTCTGACTACTATCAGAGACGTGGCATATGGGACCAGGAGATGGCATAATGGTTTCATCGCTGGACTCCCACATAGTCCACCACAGTTTGAGTCTTGGACCCAGTGACTAAAAACTCACACAAGGCATGGATGCTTGTGTGCCCAAAATTGAGAGAGAATGGAGGAGAAGGGATTGCAGTGTGGCTATCCCTGCTGGGGGATGATTTCCCGCTTTCTGTCTCTCTGTCTCTCTGGTAAGCGCAAGTGCCTCATATCAAAAATGTCCAAAAAAAGAAAAATCTTTTAACGAGAGGCTAGTCTTGGTTTTCCTGAAACTTGACTGTACTCAAGGTGAGGGCTAATGTGTGGTACTTTATGCATTCAATTGTTTATTCATCCCACAAGTATTTATCATGCAAATAACTGATATGATGGCTGCCAACAGGTACCGATTTTTCCAAAGGTGTCCAATACGCTACCGAAAATAATTTGTTTTGTTTTACTCACATACTAGAATTCCTAGGAATCACTGAGGGAAATATGATGGTATAACTAGCTTCAGTATTAACTTAGTTGAGGTCCAGGGCCCTCAAAATAAACCACCTGCTATTAGAGGTGTCAGAAGGATTCATGTTTGAATAGCTCTGTGTAGTCAAAGTTCTCCACGTGTCTGAAGTTCCAGTGTTAACCTTAGTTTTGCTGGTGGGAGAGGGGATTAAGATCCCAGGGTTTAGAAGCATCTTCTTTTGTTTGTTTGCTATGAGGTTCACGTGATCGTCAGAGAGAGAGAGAGAGGGGGGAAGTGAGGAAGTACACACCAGGGAGGATAGCTACGCTGCAATCTCTTCTCCTCCATTCTCCTCTTGGGATTTTGGGCACGCGCACACACACGCCTGGTGTATTTTTCAACCCGGCAGGCCCGGGACTCAGATTTGGTAGTTACCCATGTCAAATCCAGTTGCCTTAACCTTCATGACACCTGCCCTGGAAGCATCTTAACAAAGATTTAGAAATCAATTTTGGTTTAGTCTTTAGGAAAAGTATGTACCCGGAAGATACTATAAATATCGTCATCATATACAGTCTCCTTTGGTGTGTAAACAATTCCATCCTGAATTATGTCTTTTGGCTCGACGCACTTTCCATCTTCACTGTCATATCCAACACCATAGAAATGCTTTGCTGGCAGCAAATTATAGACCTGCAAAGGGGGTAAAGGGAGACTTGTCATTTTTTTTTTTTTGAGAGATTTTCACTGTAGGGCGCGTGCGCTCGCCAGACAGACAGAGAGAGACATAGAGACAGAAAGCGAGAAGTCACCCCCCGGGGGGATGGTCACGCCGCAATCCCTTCTCCTCCATTCTCCTCTC